AGCACTGCTTAATGTAACAGGCGATGTACTTGTATTCAGGTCAAAGCTAAAGTTGTCAATGGGAAGTGCACAGCTTCTTTCGACGACTTGACGTTGGAGGTGTATGCGATTGAGCACAATAGGATTGCTATCAAGTGCTTGGATGCTGAGACGTAGGTCGGGCAAGATCATTGTTGAGGAATCTCCTCGGCAGTGTTGGAGCATATGTTTGGTTTCCCTACTGTTTCATGAAAGCTCAAATCTCGTGACTTGTGAGTGTACAGATATTAACATGAACAACCTGAAATTCTTTTCCAATTCATTTGTTCGTATTAACACGCATAGTGCTTCCGCACCCTGTTGCCTGATCTTTTAGAAGCAGAAGCGGACCAGAAGTTGTGACGGGCTACTACGCTAATCCTTCCTATACCTGTGGCGAGCTTGTCCAGGCTCTTCATGATGCTGAACGCTCGACCGACGAAGATTACTTCTCTGACACGGATCCGAACAAGGACGAAAATAAAGATGTTATTCGGAGGGCCCTTCGGAGGGCATTTTGCGTTTAACGCAAAATGCCTGATGTTCTTCATATTCACTGATGTTCTTGACCAGTAACTTACTGGTCAAGAACATTCAGTGATCGTGTGTGATGTGTTATTCATAATTTTATAATCAAGGTTGGTAATTTATCAAGTGTGACTCGTGTTTTGTGTTCATCAATAGTCGGCCGCCTCATAGTGTGCCACACTAAGTGTGGTCAATTTCATCCCAACTTCCTTCTACGTCATACGTCAGCCTCTGGAGGAAGGCGAGAAACTGTTCAGCGAAAGACAAAGTAACGCGTCGCAACGATATCAGTCATGAGAATCAAGCCTTTACATGCCAGCGCAACTCTCATGAGAAATGCAGCGCGGAGTGAACAGTTATTTAGCGTTTAGAGATCTACTCTATACTATCACGGGCTGCAATTTTGCTGCCTCTAGTATTGCGATCATGCGCATCCTAATCCTGCTAGTGTTACTCACGTTATGCGATCCCCTTTAGGTCGTAAAATTCTATCTTCAGCGCTTCTTCTCCTGGAAATGAGTTGAAGGGTCGTACGAGAGAGACGTGTACGAGTGCAGCTCACGACTCGGTCGCGAGCAGCGTGAGTAGTGCTAGATGTTAGTACGTTGTAGATGTCGATGTAGGATGTGTGAAAGGAGTGGTATTATCTACCAATTACTGGGTATCCATGGCAGTATTATTTGTCACATGCTATTGCGTATTCTCTCTATTGCCTCTTTACTGGGGTTACTCCATGTTGAGGCTCGTTTGAGTCGTGGGGGCACGCCTCATGGACAATTGCTTCTGAGCAAGCCTAGAACTAGCATAGCGCGGAATAGTCCAACTATCCCGGAAGTAGAGGTAGGCCATCATAATGGGTTCCAAATGATCCGACTCATTCAGCCCGACAGAGTGGGAACTGAGGACCCTCCGGGTGTTCTGACTCCGAATAGGTATGAAAGACTCCTGGGTATCGATCCCCTGGAAGAACCTTCCAATTCAGGCGTTGGTGCTCGGTGGAAGGCCAGGTTGACGGCGAGCCTCGTGTGGTGTATTTCCGACAGTCCGACGATTCCAACAACTCCACGATAATAAACCTTTACTCACGCAGTGTACTTCAAGGGTAACTTGATACGTTTCTCCTCTTTTTCGACTTAGAGAGTCGTCCTTAGGGTCAGGCAACTGTCACGGGCCAAGTTCCCTTTCCATCACTTACTCGATTGTGACAAATACATCAGCGTCATTCATTCTTTCTGGTTGATTTTTCTTCAAGTGTACCGAGATGCAGTTGATGAAGCTGCGAGGAGAAGAACACCGATCGCTGATGTTTTTGTCCGAAGAGTCTTCGATAAATATTTGACTACACTTGACTGAATCTTGAATTGAATGCGGGTCCTGCATGGTTGGTAGGCAGCCCTACATTTGTTGAGATGTTCTGTGGTTTCTCCTGGGCTTTGCGTTGTAGAGAAAGTCACCTCCCAAGGTTATGTTTTCATTCCGAGCTTTTGTCTGTATTCCACGCCCACCCCCATAATCTGAACTCTCCCGGTTACTTGGCTGCCTATAACCCTTCAATCCACTAACACCGCGAACTTGTTATCCTCATCAGCGAGATTGACTTCGTCGATTATGGAATCGGCGAATTGCAATTGATAGTCAGTGACTGTCGGCTCAGTACATGTCTCACTTTGAATTTACTACAGGCCGGGAGTTCACAAATTCTCTGGCTCGGAATTGCTTTGAGCACGGTCTGATAGTGATACAGAATTAGTCACCCTATGGTTCCGTTGAGGAATCAGGCCAAAGGTGAGAAAGCCGAGATGTACATCCGAATTGTAACCGACTTCGAATCCTTAATAATGAGAGTGCCATTACTGATTGAGACACACCACGCGATCATTCGACACTGCTTGACGGACACGATCGTAGAGAGTATAGTGTGTATACCATGTACATAAATATCACAGGTGCATATCAGTCCGCCATCATCACGGTTGTTTGAAATTTAATGTCTTTAGTCTTACATACTCATGGAGGGCGTCCGTCGTCCCGATCCGGTGCTTATCTCAGAAGAATATACCTTCAAGGAACTCAAGGGCTCGGAGTCCCTACATCTATTTCACCCTGTACAGTACAAGAGAGCGAGAAATTGAACTTCTCCGAGTCACCTCGTAATACGAGGCTTCATCGGATACGCAGCTTGTAGCGCTGTAATTCCGAGCCTAGGAAATAATATCATCACAGTCAAACGGTATCATAGCACGACGACTCATAATACAACGATCGCTCTGAGATACTTGACTGAGTCGAGTTGACTCTATAGAGGCGGCGAAGTGATGATAGGATCTCCCTCACTGATAGCTTGTGTGGCGTTTGTCTGAGCGGAGATCTCAGTATTGTTATGACTCAGTAACGCCGCGTTACTAACGCGCTGTATCGCGTTACTAACGCCATACAGCGCGATGTTGGTAACTATCGGCCACAGAAAGTAGCAGAGTAAGAGACGATGGTACAAAAGAGACGGGTCTCAAGTCAAAACATCATGTCTCGTCTCGTGCGGCGAGCGTGTAGCAATAAAGGTGAACCGCGTGTGCTCGAAGGCGAACTACGGGACGAAAAGAACGCCGAGCAAGAGAACAGGTTGGGTAAATTTGTAGATGTCGATGTAGGATGTGTGAAAGGAGTGGTATCATCTACATCTTACTGGGTATCCATGGCAGTATTATTTGTCACATGCTATTGCGTATACTCTCCGTTGCCTCTCTACTGGGGTTATTCCATGTTGAGACTCGTTTGAGTCGTGGGAGCACGCCTCTTGGACAGTCGCGCCCGAGCAACCGCGAAAGGGTCCCGATAGTAGAGGTAGGCCATGGGGAGCATCACAATCGGTTCCAAACGATCTCCCCAACTTATTCAGGCCGACAGAGTGGGAACTGAGAACCCTCCGGGTGTTCTGACTCCAAATAGGTATGCAAGACTCCTGGGTATCAATCCAGAGGAAAAACGTAAATCTGCCGATTCAGGCGTTGGTGTTCGGTGGAGGGCAAGGTTGGCGGCGAGACTCGTGTGGTGTATTTCTCACAGTCCGACGATTCCGACAGATCCACGATCATAAGCCTTTACTCAGAGGGTGTACTTCGAAAGTAATATATTACTCCTTTTTTCGGCTTGCAGGATCGTCCTCAGGATCAGACAACTGTCACAGGATGTTTTTCCCTTCCCCCACTTAATCGATTGTGACAACTACATCGAGACCATTCATCAGGTTTGCTGGCTCCTCGAACCAAATTACCGAGATGCAGTTACTGAAGCTGCGAGGGAAGGAACGCCGATCGCTGACGTTTTTGTCCGAACCATCTCCAATACATTCGGATGAGAATGCAGTTAATGCAGGACATGGTTGTTGGGAAGCCCCACAGTTGTTGAGATGTTCCTGTTGTCTCTCGTTGGAAATCCAATAGAATCTCCGTCATTGATGGCTTTTGTAACATTAGTCTGAGCGGAAAGCTCAGTATTGTTATGACTCAGTGACGCGACACAGTGTGATGTCGGGATTGCCGCCGCAGGAAGTAGCAGGGTACAAGAACGATGGTAAAAAGGAGACGGGTCTTAAGGCAAAACACCATGTCTCGTCTCGTGACACGAGACTCGTGTGGCGAGCGGCTAGCAATTAAGCCCGAAGGTGAACTACGATCGATGTCGATGTAGGATGTGGGAAAAGATATGATATTACTGGGTATCCCCGGCAGTATTATTTGTCACATGCTATTGCGTATTCTCTCCGTTGCTTCTCTACTGGGGTTACTCCATGTTGAGGCTCGTTTAAGCCGTGGGAGCACGCCTTATGGACAGTCGCTTCTGAGTGAGCCTAGAACTATCCCGGAAGTTGAGGTAGGCCATGGTGAACATCACAGCAAGTTCTGAATGTACACCCAACTTATTCAGGCCGATAGAGTGGGAACTGAGGACCCTCCAGGTGATTTGATGGAATACAGGTACGCAAGACTCCCAGGTATCGATCTCCTGGAAGAGCGTAAATCTTCCAATTCAGGCGCTGGTGCTCGGTTGAAAGCCAGGTTAACGGCGGGACACGTGTGGTGTATTTTCGACAGTCGGACGATTCCGACAGATCCACGGT